TGGGTCCCTCCGTGCTGGCCAGCGTATTTCACACCCCAGCGCTGCGCTCTGCTCGCGCGGGACGCGTTTTCGTCCTGCTCCTTGTTAATAGCTTGCTACAGACAATTGAGGAAAACTTTAGAAACAAGATGGAACAAAGTAATTCTGCTTCTTAATCCATACTGAAAACAGTAACTGAAATGAAGGCAAATGCAGTGAAGTGCCTTGACACCTTCCCTAGACACCTTGGCTGAAGTTCTTCAGTTTTAATTACAGAAGTACCTCTAGATTTCAGCGGGATATTTCCCTCCTCTGAGCACTGCGGGCGCCATCTGTGGTTTTTAATGCCCTGTCAAAGGTAACGATGGTGGTGGACCACGTTTCAGATATTGGTGGATTAGGTATTTATTGACACAGGAGTAAATAAGCTACCATGAAATGTTAGAGGATAAAACTGTCACAACCTGAAGGACTGGGGGAAATGGGTTTGGTGGGTTTGCCTGTAGGTTTCTTACATCATCCTCTATTTCTTTAGTTTCCTCCCTGTTTGTCACCTCTGTATGTTTCAAAATCTGCAGCAGCTGATTTTCAGTTTCCTTAAAACAAAGAAAGGCACAATGCACAAATACAAGTTAAGAGCAGTCCTTTTAAGCTACCAAAAATAGACCCCATTTGCAAGCAGCTATTACAGCCAGAATTTCCATGGGAACATTAATAAAGAAATCTTGAGGCAATTAGAATAATTATAAAGCAGCACTGCCACGTAGACTGAGTACCTCTCCTGAGAGTCTTTCTCTTGATCATTCTTTGTTTTTTTAAGCATAGAATAACATAAGATGTATCTGCATGAAGTGTCTTTCTTGATTCAGCACTTCAAAAATAACTCATATTTACATTTCCAAGCAAAAGTTATAAACACCTTTACAGCAACAGTGTCAATAAGTTAATAAACTAAAAATGAAAGAAGGTTAAGATTGAAGGGACTTTCTTAAAAGAAAGAACCAGTTAAAAATTAGCCTGTGTAAAATCTTTTTATCATTTTTTATCTTGTTCCTTAGAAGTTGGTCCTTGCTGATATCTAGCCTCATTTCTTATTTCATTTTATTGCATTTTAATTTCTTTATGAAGTTACAGTATGCTTGGCCTAAAGATAAATGAGATGATACTGATTCCTGTATTAAGAAACATCAAAGCTAAGCCTAGACCTATGAACATATTCTCAAAATTAAGGATATAGAGATCTAAAATGGCCATTTGCTTAAGTCTTTTTATGATTAGGCTGTGGTTTGGACATTGTCCAAACACAGTTGTAGTCCAAATAATCATGTCCAAATAATTTGGGATTCCCTGCTGTGTCTGAGTGTTTCATTCCTGTCTGATTCCTCTCTTTTGTTCTCATCCAGATTTACTTTTAAACAGAATCCATAAAAAGTCAGGCAAACTGTAATCCTGCAAACACTACACATATACGACTTTTCCTGTTGTTCGTAGCTGTATTCTTAACAGTGTTGGAATTAAATATGGATCAAGAGCTGGTTTAAGATTTTTCTGCTGTATGACCCAAGTGAATTTTGCCATGAAAGGTAAATGGCTAAAGAGGTCGAAAGAGGAATGGGATCATGGCTGGAAGAGAGAAGCCTTTGAGAGAAGCCAGGCTTTCTACTCTTGGTTAGGGAAGGCTGAAGCTCACGGCCAGTCTTGGTTTCATTATGTGTTTCTCACACCCTCGTCTTTTTCTCCTCTTCCCTTCATGGGAATAGCAGTAGCAGACCAGACTTTCTGTGTCTCTGGAAGAGACAAAGTTGACAACCATTTTTTCACTGTTTTGCATCAGTTTCATTACCATTGTTAATTTGCTGCTTTAGGCTGCTGCCCACCTTGCTGGGACTCCTCCTGGGGATAGCAGGCTTTCGTTGCCTTTGCAAAATACATCTTATTTTAGGGTGTGGTCTCTTATTGCGTATGAATAATACATACAAAAATAATAATACCTAATACTTATAACACTGTATTGACATTGAAGCAAGGTGTTACAGAATAGCTAAAATGTATACATGGTAATGTAATTTGAATATACAGTGAACAGCACATCTTCAGCACTGGAAGTATGAGGCTGGGAAATGACACACATTTGTAGCAATAAATAAAAATTACAAAATTCATACCTTTCTTGGTACTTTTTAAAAAAAAATATTGATCTTGCATACTACTTCTTGTAATAGTTATCATCATTGTAATGCTTAGAAGCCTAGGTAATGACTCAGGATATTATGTTGTGCTAGGTGCTGTATGTTTATCAAGTGACATTATCTGCCCAAGTGCCTTAGAAACTGAGAGTGAGTCGGCAAATGGACATAAGAAACACAATGGGCATGAAAACACAAAGACACGGTAAGATCATTACGGTGAGCAGGGAAAGGCAGTAATCACAACACATCAAAACTGGCCATGGTCAAGGGCTTCTAGCCAAGCTTCACGGGGAAGAGAGTTTTTTGTGGAACCTATTTAGTTCATTTTTTGGTATTCAACAGGAAAACATACAGTCTCTTCATTTTAGTAGGTGGTTCTGGAAAAGCATTGCACATTATGAGGGTTTGCAAGAAAACAACAGGAGGTGTTAACAAAATTACATATGATTCTGGATAGCTTAGGGGGTTTGGGAGGATCATTACATTTAAAGCTTGTTATATCTCTTACAAATGACTGTTGGGTAGATGCTGTATTGATTTGTGCAGGATTAGGAGTAAGAGAAAATGATGAAAATATGCCACTATTAAGAATTTTTGATAAAATGAATATTTTGTGTTTAGATTATCTGATATTTGAGATATAGAATTTAGGTCTCGAAACATTTGGCTTTGGAAAACTTTGTAGACAAGACATGGATGTCTCTTCATCCTCTTAGGGAATATTTTCCAAGGCACAGCTGGTAGTCACCATCCATGCCACCAAGTCTTGCTGTCTATTTGGTGTTGGAAAGAAATGGAAGTTACTGTTTAGAAAATGTCAGCATCAGCAAAACTATTGCTCTGTACTGAGATCATTTCAGTGATGAAAAAATGTTATAGCTGAAGAGTTTGTAGAACTTGTTGGGTATCAATATAATATATTTTACTTTATTAAGATGATGAATATGCTGATTCTCAATAACTCTCACCTATGCGAATAAGGAATAAGAATATATATATGTGCACATATGCATGTATTTTTAAGAGTTGCTAGATGTACACAGAAGGAGACTGAAAATGCTTCTTCCATTACTGAACTTTAAACAATGCTGCACGATTTTAGGACTTTTCCTTTGTGAACTTTTGTGAACAACAGATGAGCTTTTTCAGATTGAGGAATAGTAACAGTTCAAATAAAAACCTGACCTAAATATTTAATTCAAGCCTGATAACTTAGTTGTACTGTAGCAGTTTTGTTGATATTTTTTTAAAATACTTGTTTGTTGGTTGGTTAGCTGGGGGTTGTGACTAACGATCATTTGACATATGAGTATACTTCTAGTTGTTTAATATTATGAATGAATACAATTTATAGATTGAGAACAATTGTTGATGGACTCTCAGATTGCTGAGAGTTTTGTATGTCTAATAGAAAGAGCCAGACTTGTACAGATTTGCCTTAATCGTTTTTGGTTTTACACATGGCCTAAGTATCACTGAAAAGCACCTGAATGAGGATTTCAAGACCAGGTGTTACAATTCCTTCCTTATTTAAGTCTTCTAAAGGAATTCTCAAATGTTAAACAGAGGCCTTGCACTCCAGTATATGGTTGGATAGTTTGGATTTCCTGTGTCAGAGACCTTTCAGAATATCCAAGGGAAAAAAAGTTGTGTTTGTTTGTTTGAAAAAAAGGGGGGGAAAAAGGTAAACAACACTTGAAATAATAAAAAATGGCGTTCATATAGAAGACACGTACTGGCTTAATCCTGCAGAGGGAGTAGCCGACCAACATTGGAATTGGCTTTGGGAAATCTGTCCATAGGAAAATTTGTGATGAAAGCCATTTAACTGTCTATATATTCTTTAAAATTATATGTCATCAGTGATAAGTGATGGATTTATAGTATTTTCTTAATATAGTCAACCACCAAGATATACTTTGCAAATTACATTTTTCATAAGATTGAAGAGATGCTAAGGTTGGTATCAGCATGTTGATTAGTGTTACAAATATTCAAGATGTCTAAACTGAAGACATTTGCCTTTTAATGTGTCTGTGCATAAATAAATATTTTTCTTTGCCTTTTCATATTGGTCTTAACACAGAATCATAGAATCACAGAACGGTTTGAGTTGGAAGGAACCTTCAGAGATCACCTAGTCCAACAACTCTGCTGTGGGCAGGGACATTTTTTGTTAGATCAGATTATTCAGAGTCCCATCAGCCTGACTTCGAACACTTCCAGTGATGGGTCCTCCCCAATTTATGTTCCACAACCTTCAGAGATCTCTTCCAGTTTACATTATTGTCTGATTCTGGACAGTATTCTGATTAGCGTGTGGAAGATCTCTCTAGCATGCAAAAGTTCCCAGGCTTCTCCCTCTACCTGCCTGCCCTGCCCTCTGCCTCTTCAGAGTGAGGCCCCACTTGACAGGGTGCCTTTTTTTTGCTCACGTTGTGCCTGGCTTTTGCTCTATATTCATAGCATGGGTTTGATATAGAGCTTTCCTCTTTTCCCTTGTCTTCCCACCATGCTTCCTGAAAAGGATTCAAGCACATGCTCCACATTTATGTAATACTAGTGAGAGATTGTATCTTCAAAGGAAAGTAGTATTGTGTCATTTGAGTTTGTACAGTGAGTAAACCATTATATTACTGTGTTGTCTTGATCCATCAAACATGTAGCTGTTGCTTCAGATATTTCCTGGGTTTAAAATTTAGTTTTATATTTATATAGACCAGTTGTATTATGGTAATAACAACTCAGAATCAATATGGACGTTAGAAAATTAAGAAAGTATTTCTACCCACTGAGTGCATAGGTGAAAGGCCCTGGTTTGGGAGAATGAAACGTAAGTGGATGGTGAGATTGTAGAGTCAGAATTTTCGTGGTGAGCTTATCAAGGCATGAGCAGACTCTGAATGGCAAAATTTAGACATGTACCATCCATCTGCACCATGGAGTGTGATGGTAGTGAAAAGTTGGCAAAGAAAAACAGTTTTCTGAGAGTCAGGGCTGAAAGTAAATCTAAAAATTGATGTTGTGATAACTAATAAAAGCTAGTTTCTTTATAACAGAGGGAAGTATAAGCAAGAGAGTGTATCCCAGGACAGCATCTTTTGCATTAACATAGATCAATGTCTAGTTAAACATACACAATCATGTTTTGAAATTTTTACCAGATGCAAAACCTTCTAGTTTATAATTTCCATTAAATATTCACTTAAATACTGCAATTTGCTTGTATACTTTTAAAAATCAATATACTTTTGATGTTCTTTCTGTATGTGAGCTCACAATCTAAAAATAAATGATCTATGAACTTTACCTGACGACAGCTAAAGAGCAAATGAGGAAATTATTATTAAAAGATAATACAGACTAATGTGATAACACAATTCTGAAAAGCAAATTTTTTTAAAAATTGCATTTTGTTTAAGATCAATATCTGGGCATTATTCCCATTCAACATACTCTTTACTACACAGGATTAATCTTGTTTTAAATTCTGCTTTTTATTAAGTAAATAAAATTATCCAATCTTCTATATATTCTTTCTTTAATGCACATTAAAAGCAATTAAATTCTTAGTAAGAATAAAGAAATACCGCATATTTTATTACTATCCTAAACCCAGTGCTTTGAAGTCTATCAATTGAAATATACTGATTCATGCAATATTGCCTTCAAAAATAGAATGAAAGGTAAGTGATGAAAAGAGATGCCTCTATTTTACAATATTTTAAAAGATGCTAGTTAACTTGTGTTTATTTTAACAGTTTCATATCTAGATGCTATTTTGCTGTTAACACAAAGGCATTAATTTGCAGTTTCTTCTTGCAGGTGCTGCTTTGTGGTGTAATTGTTATGCGTCCAGAAGACCCACTTACATTTTTAGAAGAAAAACTCAGAGGAATAATGGAAAAGGGATTAGATGCTGTCCTTTGGTACATATTAAATGATTTTGTGTGTGCTATGTGGTTTATAATATTGAACTTGGTCTTTTAAAACATGCTAATGGCATGGCATCTACTGTGTAGATGGCATGTTACATGTGGATACTGCTTTTTTTGCAAATATTAATGGCATATGATATAGCAAATACAGTAAGACAATATCTTCTGAAAACAGAAAAGACTTTTCTTTTGATATCTATGTTTTTTTTGTATAGAGGATACCTAATGAATATAACCTTTACTTAAAGGTCCTCCTTGTTTAGTTAATATATTAAACCAGTACTTTTGTGGTAGTTGAAACAGAGGTAGTGTTAACTTGTAAGTTCATTGCTGTCCATGGTATACTTACTTATATGAGCCAGGGATGTGGCCTTCAAGCACTGAATCAATTATTGTAGTATTTCTCATTATTTCTCTTCTCTGTGTGATCTTTAACCCTTTTAAGTGAAATCATCACAGGAGGAGATAAAAAAGACTTAAGGATTTAGTTATCTCTACACTGGAATCTTAGAAGATATCGCGATTGATTTAAATGGGAGGAGTCTTTGGTCTCTAAAATATGTGCAACTTATATAGGCTAAAAATGCCATTCTGAATTTTTAAAAATATGTTTCATGGCAAGTGCTTTTTCTCACACTTGTTAGTGCTTTTTGCCTACTTATAGAAAAAAGCCCTTGATTAATTTATAGTTAATCTGTACCTGACAAGAGAGAAAATGTGTATGTGTATTCTTAGCTTACTGTGCAGAAAACAAGACACAAAGTTTTGGATTAGTTTTGAATATTGTGAGATCATATGTTCTTACCTTTTTTTGAAGCATGTTCATTACTCTTGGTGCAGGTCCTGTGAAAGTTACTTCCTCTCCTGCTTTAACTTGCACATATAATTAAGTAATTTCATTTGTGTTTCAAGAAAAGTTGTGTTTTGTAAATATGCCATCTTTAAGGTTTATAAATTCTGGTTCATTGAGGGTTTTTAATATCAGGATGAAACTTCAGTACATGAAGAGGGAAGAGAAACAAGCTATAATGCTATTTGAGTTGACATGAATCACTAAGAAGATGGAGTACCCTCTTTTCTTAGTTGCTGAACTTCATCTAAGAATGCAGTTTCATTTATAGGTCTCAGCTGTGCAATATCAAGCCTGATGTTTTAGGATATCATCAGGATTAAGTGGCAGGAAAACTTCAAATATTGAGTAGAACTCCTACTGAGATAGTAGTGTAAGCAAGTAAGAAGAAAGATGAACAAAATTTCATAACAATAAGGATGCTTGAAGGAAAAAACTGCTGGGGAGTGAAAGAACTTTGTACAGGAAGGAGATGGAAAGTGTTAATTCAATATGAATTAGATTCTGTGTTACATGTAAAGTCTACACAATATAATTTTTTAGAGTTCAGGTTAAGTAGATAAAACTTTTTAGTAAGGGACTCTTCTGTTGAGATACTGAGTTCTGTAAAATGCCTCGTTGTCAGAAAATTGCAGTGTTCCTCACTTGATTAAAGCACCTCAAAAGACACTGCTGATCTATTTAGATGTGACCTAGAAAATCTAGAGAATGAGAACTGGAAAAAAGAGAGAAGGCAATATAATGGACAAAGTTGTGGTTAATGCTAGGAAAATAAACATCTTTTGCAGTGTGAAGAAGCTGAAATTTCAAAGAGCTAGATGGCGAGGTACCTACCTCAATTTTATATTCTGTGCAATTGTCACTTCTGGTTGAAGCCTTCAGTATGTGGATAACAAATCCTTAATCTTTGGGCTCGCTCAAGCAGAGATCTCAGGAGTTGTCTGGACCCCTAACCACTCTGGGTGCACGCAGACAGACTTACGTACATTGTGGTAACAGGTAAAATCATTACAGTGGGTGATACAGATTTGTGCCTTATTGTGTTCTTTCCCTGGGGTTCTCATGGGGTAACACAGTTCCTCATATCACAAGGTGCACCAACAGCCTGAACCATAATGATGAGGTTTTATTGTTTACTTTACAGTATTTGTGATGTCTTTCCTAGAAGTTGAAAACTGACTTGATTTCTCTTTTAATTTTGGCTCTCTGTTAACTACTTTTTATTTCCATATTTTTCATGGAAGCGTAATGCAGCATAGTCTTTTTTTGATTTATTTGGCTCTTGCAGTGTGTCATCTTTTTTAATGAAAAAAATCTAGTTTACCTACCTAGACGTGGTACAGCCTGTTTGCAACAGCAGGAAACTTTGCTCCAACTAATGAAAATTTGAAATGGCTGTTCAGTCAGTATTAAGATGAGAAACAAAGTAGTATAATCTGATGGGAAATGTCTGAGATACAGAGCTTAATACATAGAATACATGGAATGTGTTAAGCTCTGATCCACACAGTATTTCAACATAGATCTAAGAGCAGCAATAAAACATGATAATTTGTTTTCATATTTTGTAAACACATTTTTAAAATGGATGATATAGGTATTTGTAATGCAAGTGAGATACATCTTAATCTTTTAATAATGACAATATAATACCATAACATGTAACTCTATTGTTACAGTAATAACCATAATCTGTAAGTATTAGGTACAGAGAAAAGATGCATTTTCTTTTGGGAATACTAATATGGGAATATAATTTACTTCTCTTTTAAAGGTATATGCGTATGGATCTGTCTTTACACCCAAAATTAAAGAGGATTTCAGAAACTTACCTGAGCACTGTTTTTGGACTAGATGGTGAACAACTGGTAAAAATTATTGAACGTTTGCTGCATTAACTCTATGCTGTGAACAAATCTTCTAATACAGAATACTCATATTCTGGTTTTAAGTTTTACTCATTTTACTCTTCTATAGCTAATGCAAGGAATTTGATACTTTGCATTTCTTTCTATTGATACTGATTTGTGTACAAAAACTGATGTCATCAGAGGTGAGCATGGCATCCAGGTATATGGTAGGGAAAAAGTAGTTCCTGTTTCGTATTTGATCATAATTTTAAAAAGAGTTCCACATAAATATGAATCTAGTTTCAATAGCATGTTTTTTCTATGCATTATTTATTTTTACTTAGGCCAATTTCTAAAATTACACTTGAACCAATACATCTTGGAAAGTGCTGTCAATGCTAATGATTAGTAGTTACAGGTAAATGCAGTATTATTGTACATAAAGCAATAAGGATGTAAAAACATTTTGGTTTTGCCAATCAAAAAAGTCACCTGTAGAGAAGAAAAGCTGTTATTTTAAAACATTCAGAGAAGGAGAAAGTTGCTGTAAGAACATGCAAGGAAGAAGTCTAAGCAATTTAGTCAGTAAGCTGGCATGCAGTGTCACCTGATTTTTCTCTTAGTTATAACTACTTGATTTTGTCTTCTCTTAGTGCATCTGTACTGTGAGTGTACTGCAGTTTCATTTCAGCTGTTTCCTCTTTTAGCAACCACTTAAATATTAATCAGTCTAAAAGTGCAATGGTTAATTTATATACTATATTTATAAATTTACAAACGTCTCACAGTCAGATTTTCTCTCATAGATTTTCTTAAGAGTGAGAACAATAAATGAGATAAAAGACAGTATTTTCCGAGGCTCAGTTGCTATCTGCATATTCAAAGGACCATATTTTCTTTTACAGGGATATTCTGACTGCTTTTGGTTTTGTAGAAGTTCAAACAGATTTATTATGAGTTAGAATCATGTGATAAATGATTTACATAGCAACGGGTCATGAAAAGATTTTTGCAAAGAATAACTAAAGTATTGTTTAATATGCTAAATTGCTGGATACAACTGGTCAAGAAAAGTGTGGATATGAGGGATAAAAGACCCAATTTCAGCTATTGAGCTTTTCCACAAGCACACATATTAATTCTGTTTTGTATGCTAACTTAGCTTTTCCTTTAACTTCTGTATGTAAAAACAAATATAATTTGGTGGCAAAGTACTTCTAAAGATACACAGAAAATTATATTTGAACATTTGTCTCTTTAAAATAGATTAATTTGCACCAGTCACCATGGAAAATACAAGATTTCATATTTTTGTCTGATTTTAAAATATTCATAGCACTGTTTTGTGTACTAATGTCATAAATGATTTGTTTAGATGACTGAAGAATTATGTACCAAAGCATGGGACTTTTACAGCAGAAACTTAATGAAGCTGTATTTTGGGTAAGTACATGCATTTTACATATACCTCAGGAACATCTTTGGAAAAATCTTTTACTCCTAAGTACTATTTATGTAGTTCCTTTGGGGAAGGAAAACGTTTTCATTTTAATAGAACTACGTGAAGAGAGATTAGAAACTTAGATTTGGCTTTACTTTTCTTCAGCAATGTTATTCTATGTTAAAACTTGTAAATTCTGAGTTTCTGCCTGATCCAGACCTGAACCAAGTCCTTTGACACTTCTGTACTTCAATCAGTTCTATTTGCCAGGAATAGGGTAGTATACCCAGGAGTAAAAGGATAATTTGCATTTGGGTCTGAAAGTAAAAGACCTTTCTCTTCTGCTCTTTCTTCAGTTTCCTTTATGGTTGGAATTATGTAAACCATACTTTATGCAATTCAAATTTTCCTTTTAGAAACGGGGATAATGTATAAATATGTTTTAAAATATGATGATCACAGTACATAAACTGATTTCTTTGTTATAAGCATGTGTATCAAAATGTAATGATCCTCCATTTAGAACAGATAAGTTTGGGCTGTTTTGTTTTGAAAACCATACAGTGCTAATTAGATAGGAGGTACAACTCTGTAGGAACACTATGTAAATCCTTACTAAGGATCACAGAACTGCTAGGGATGTGAAGATTTTCAAGCTATACTGTGGTTAGACTTGGTGAACATTTGTCTTGGCTGGTTTTAGTCATCTTAAAAATCACAGGTGTTGGAGACAATGACAATCTCTGCAGGCAGTTTATTCCAGTACTGCACAGTCATTTCCACTAGAAAAGTTTTTCTAACACCTGAGCCTTTCTTGCTACAAGAGAAACCCTTTCTCCCCCCCTTTTTGTCTTATACATGAGGGACATGGAAGATTATTCCTTTTTCCTCTGTAGCAGTATTTTGAAGATTGTCTGAGCTAGTTTTTGAACAGTTTTGTTTAATTATCACAGAAGTCGAACTGAACAGTAGAATGTTAGATTTATAATTACTCCCAACTATATGAAGTGAAATTATTTTCTTTTTTTAAACTTTGAAATGAGAGAGATTGTGGCAATTGAAAGTAGTCATTTGAAGTGCAATTTATTCAGTAGTCTTTCCAGCAAATCAGATATGGAGAGATAGTGTATTTTAATATATTGGTGATATATGATTAGTTTGAAATACATTTTTTGTTCTGAATCTAATTGTTCCTCATTACTTAGCTTAGAAAAGAAATGAGATTTTTTACCAAAGGTTAAAACTGTTGTTATAAATTGAATTTGTATTCTATTATATTAATTTTTATTGGTATTGCCAAGAAAATGTAAATAGCACAAGTAGATGCTTGCAATCTAGAACTTTTAAATTATTTTCTATAAACACTCAAATGTCATCCCATAAATACAGATCTGTACACTAAAGTAGAGTTGACAGCAGCAGGAGTATATGATGGTGGAAGCAAGAAAGTTTTTATTGCTCGATACTGTAGAACATGAACAAGTAGAAATTTTATTAAAATGAGTGAATGAATTACTACTGAAAAAATTATCAATGCATATTTTGTTTAAATTATAAATAACAAACATCAGTTCTGTTCAGAAGTTTATATTATTGAGCTTGACTGCTTTGTATTTTACAGCAAACTGCAGAGTTTTATAGGCTTTACTTCATTCTGGTTGGGAGCCCTATTAAATTACTCATTCTGTTTTACAATTCAGAGGATGGATAAAATATAATCTGCTGAAAAAGAACAAAAGAAAAAAGGCAAAGCAGAAGATGGCTCTAGCAGTAGTCCATTATAACGTCCAAATATTAAGAGTTATTATGCAGAAGTGGAGCATGTGGGTACAGATTCACAAGGAAAAAATGACATGTAAGTCTATGTAACTGCTTTGCATAAGACAAAAAATACATGCTATATAAAAGCAAATTATGCTGTGTAAATATGCTTGGTCAACAATTTATCTAGTGATCTTTTTGAAGGATGCCAGTCATTGTTTGACATGTGTCAACTTGCTGCCATGAATGCCATGAGAGTCAGTTCCTTGTGTTCTTTGCTAGGACAGATAGTGCTGGTACTTTTCTCTAAAGACTGAGCAGTGATGCTGATCCAAAGCAGACATGGGAGCTGTTAGGGAAATGGAGTGTATGTCAGAAGTACAGGGTGGAGTGAGTCAGGATGCTTTTCTGGAAGGTGAAGAGTACAGTAATAGGGATAAAACAGGATGGATCACAGAGTTGGAGTCAGCTTGGAGTCAGTTAGAGGTAATGCGTGATGAAAGGTGGGGAAAGAGTGAAGATCAAAGTAAGAAAAAGTCAGAAGACAGAAAAAGAATACTTTGTTCATTCTGAGACTTTGTATCCCACACATCTTCCAGGTATGGGTTTTTTAAAATGTCTCCACACAGCGGCAGCTGTGAACACAAGGCTCTGAACCTGAGTCCTCCCAGACAGAAGTTTCATGAAAGTAAAGTATGGGCCAAAAGCTCTACCTATAGCTTTTGTTTGAGCTCAGGCAGTTATGTATGACTCAAACACTGCTCTTACAGAGCTGGAGGCCTAAGCTCTTGTCTCACTCCCCTAGGCAGTTTCCAGAGATTTCCTATTCTTTGTATTCCTAAAGACAAGAGGTACAAACTGGTTTCTGTACCTCTTTTTACATATTCCTGTATGTAATAGCTGCTGCTTCACTAAACTGAACCAAAAGTAGTTTTCTATTCTATTTGTATGTTGTAAATAATTTTAAAATATTGGTTTTTTCAGTCCTGTTTTCTTATGGCTGAGTCCTGTTATTTCCCTCTCTACAGAACAGGAAAATAAAAAGCTTTTAATATGTAAGATAATATTATTTCTGTGTGGAATGCTTCAGTTCACTGAAGAATTACAAATATAAAATGAGCTTGGATAGGAGTTTTATCACCTAGATCTAAAATAGAGATCCTTTAAATTATCCTTCAGTATCATTTAACTGCAAATGCTCAAGGTTTCAATATTCAAGTTTCTCAGAACTTGAAGTTTTTCTGAGGATCTTGAACCCACAATAATAATTGGAGAGAAGCTGTCCCAACCTTCCTGTTATTCCCATTTACATTTTCTTGCCCCAGCACTGTTCTCACCTTTGTGTTCATTACAGGGATTTATATGAACCACATCAGGGAACAGATCTGTCTGAAAAATTTTCTTTCATTTTCTTCTTTTACTGAATCAGTTCCTTAATCCAGTTCATTGTGTTGCGACACGAACAGTTGTTTGGGTACAGAGGAGGAGGTAGGCAACAAGTGGTGGAGAGACGGGTGAAACAAGAGTGCATCTGCCTCATTTTGTAGGTGCGGGGTGTTCACTGAACTGCAGTGCCTCAAGGCTAAGCTTATTGGGATCTGTCAGTGAAGCAGGTCTCTGCCTTTCTAGCCTGAGAGTCCATAGGCAGTTTTAGAGCATACAGGGTGTAGCTGTTGTTTTTCATGTACATTGGAGAAAGATATATTGATGCCTTCCTTTTAGGCATTATTTTAAAAGTTGGACCTTTCACCATCTGTGGGAAATGTGACTTAAATTCTTGCCCTCACCAAAGAGGTTCAGACCCCTGTCTCTGCTCTGCAAGCTGCACTGACCACAGAGTTTTAAACTGGAAGTTTTCACACAGAGAGTGAGGGGGAGATAGGAACAGGTCTTTCTGGGACCCTGCACATACATCCTGGGAGGAGAAAGAAGCCTCCTCAAAATTTCATTCAGTCCATCCTCACCCCTCTTTTCTTGTCTGTGTGTCGTTGTCCCGTCCCCCCC